AGGGAAAGGGTGTCTAGGACACACGAGGTGCCTGCGCTATTCCGGGCCTTCCGCAGCCCGTCACGACAGAGAAGCTACGTGCCGCCCGACGCCCTGCGCAGGCTCACATCGTCAGGGCTCCTGACCCCCGTGGTATGTATCTCAGCGGTGCCACGTACTCGGGGCAGCGTGACCTGCCTTCCTGTGCCACGTCACTGCTACAGAAATCTGTGCAGACGGGACCAGCAGTCGGCGTAATGGCTGTGTCACTGGACTCCCATGTAGCTGACCGCGGTTTGAGTCCCGGACCTGGTGGCTTAAACTCATGCTGGGCATGGGCGCGTGTGTGTGCGTGCCCAAGATCCCGAGAGGAGAATGGAGGAGAAGGGACTGCAGTGTGGCCACTCCCCTTGGGGTAATTTCCAGCTTTCTATCTCTCTGTCTCTCTCTGTCTTTCTAGTGAGTGCATGCGCCCTATAGCAAAAATCTCTCCAAAAAACAAAAAAGAAAGCAAGAAAGAAAGAAAGAAAAGAAAAGGAAAGAAATCTGTGCAGAGCTTCTCTGATGTGCTATTCACAGTCTGCGTTTTGGCAGGGTTGGCAACTACATTAGTTAAGTCAGTCAGTCAGTGACATTTATCGGGTACCTATTCTGTGCCACGCAAAATCCATTTTGTTCAGACAAAACGGATACAGAAGTAAACAGAACCCGTTTCCTGGGGAGAGGGTCTGGGGAAAACAGAGAGTAACACACACACACACACACACACGCACACACACACACACAGAGTAACATACACACACAAATGAACAAATGAGGTAAGTACAGACTTGGAGAAATACTGAGAACAAAACAAGGGGTGTGATGGGAGAGTCTGGGAGGTGCACAGGGCCTCCTTTAGCAATGCTAGGCCCTGCCTTGCCCCCATGTTTCCTTGCGGGTAGGGTCTCACTGGAGTGCCCTCCAGACAGTGAGGCTCCCACGGCCTAGGCAGGGGAGGGCTGTCCTAATGGTCTCACTTCCGGGAACAGCAGTGCTTCTGCCTGGAAGAAACAGCACCTTCTAGAAACACCGTCATCAGATCAGCAGACCGGCCAGGCTCAGTCCCACCCTGACCCAGACCAGCCTATCCAGTGAGTATGTCCTGGGGTGAGGACGGCTCTGAAAGTCCTGACATCAGGGGGTGGCAGGGACACCTCCCCGTTCACTGTTCCTCTGCTCCTGGGATGTCCTTGGGGCGCTGGCTAGCAGTGCGTGGCGAAAAGCAGAGCCCCGGCTGTGGGCTGAGAGCCACCTGCAGCTGGCGTCCCTGCGCTGTGGAGGGGCCAGTTCACTTCTGGAGCTCCTGAAAGGTTGGTCTTGTTCAGAGCCTCACAGATACTAAGCCTTCAATAAATCTATTTCTCAAATTAAAGCTTTTCACAGAGTATTACTTTAGTTGACGGAGTGGGAAAGAATTATTTAGGCATAAAGACTATTTTGAGGCTGAAATCATTTCAGAGCAATTCCCCAGGTATCCCCCTGGAGGTACCTCGGGCAGTGAAGAGCAAATAGTCAGGCACTGTCCGTTGGGAGATTGGGGGCTCCCCCTGGAGCAGGGGGGCTCCGTCCATTGGAGATGGGACGGAGCAGAGGGCTCTGTCTGAGAAGAAACATGCTAACTGGCTCCTCGCTGAAGCTAGTGAACGGCCTCCGTTCTGCAGACTGAAAGAGGCAAAGATTCCTCTTCCCGGCCCAGGGAAGACTGAGTGAGCACACGCGACATAGAGGGTGAAGCGGACAACAAGCGTCCTTCATCTCAAACACGTCGGGGCGCCTCCGTGAGTGCAGGGAAGTGTGTGCGGATCTGCAGGGCGCCCTCGGGAGGGCTGGCCCACCACACGTACCTGTCAGCATGGCGCAGATGGTGCTCTTTCCCGCTCCATTGTGTCCCAGGAGGACCGTGATCTGGCCCCTGTACAGGTTCATGGTCAGACCTCTGACTGCGACGTGTGCAACCCTCCTTCTGTAAAACACCTGTGGGGAGTCGAGGCATGACTGACCGAGCAGGCACACGGGGCGTTTCTGAGGAACCCGGGCCAGGCTGCAGTGGGGTACAGTTTGCCCAGAGAAATCTCCCCCTCTGTAGGTGAGCTCCAGCAGCCACGTGGCGCCCATCGAGTGGTAAGCATGCTGATGAAAGCTACCAGGCTAAGCCAGCCCAGGAGGGGAACACAGTCGCCCAGTCAGAGCTGTGGTCGGAGAGGGCTTTGTTGAGCCGCTAAGATCACGCCAGAACCAGCCACCGCAGGCTGCTCACTATGTCAAGAGCGAGAATGAAACAAACCCCTGCAGTACGTGAGATGACGTTCCGCGGTTCTAGCTGCTACGGCAGTGAGCGGGGTGGGGGCGGGACTGTCACCCATCACACAGAGCCGCGTGGTGTCACTAACAGAAGGCGACGCGGTCCTGGGCTGGCCTTCGAGCGTGGCAGCGCTACAGCGTCAGTAGCTCGGAGGACACCACCGCTGCCCCCCTCCGAGTGGAAGAGGTGGCGCGTG